CAATTAGAGATCGACAGCTTAAAGAAAGTGAGGCAATCAGTCCTAAGGCAGAGTACCTTCTAAAGTCTCGAACCCTATTTGGATTAGTCTTGGGCCAAGACAGCAGAACTCGATACCGGACTCGATCGAGCATAAAAATATGCCCCGCGCCGATTTCTTTTGCGCCCTTCGTGACTTCATTTCACCAACCGACGGCTCGTTCTACCGTCTTGGGAATCTTCTACAAACTGTTTATCTTTGTCTTTAGTTTCCTCCAGATTTCCAGAGGAACCAATCAGCGCCCAGGAAATTCCAGTTGAATCTTTATTTCATGAATATAGATCAATGGGTTGCATCAAATGACCTATCACGCGATATGATGTACCTTCGCAAGCGTTACTATACGCGACGCTGACCGCACTGGTACTAAAGTACTCAGAACTGTTACTGTTGATAATGGCTGCGGTCAATGCATTGGAACAAGGAGGGTAGAAATGAGTCTGTAAAAGACTTCCTATAACAAAACTGAAGAAATAACAAGCTTACGCTATTGATGCGAACCCGCTCCAACACTCCCATAGTCTGTATTGTATCCTATTTCGCATCCTAGGGTCAATTGTGAATATTCACATTAAACTACTATTTTGCATACAAAGCCCACGCCTCGGTTGTAGGAGATTCCTAAGACTGTAGAACGAGCCGTCGATTGGTGAAATGAAGCCTCGAGAGGACGCAATAGAAATCTGTGCGCGCGGCATATGCTCGATCGAGTTCTGCCGTCTTGGTCCAAGACTATATTTGGATGGGAGCGGTGTTCTGAGACTGGGTGGTAGGCTTCAACGAGCGCCTATATAGAAGAATCGAAGGTAACCAGCGATTCTACCAAGGTATCATCATGTATCCACGGTGATAGCTCGTCATGCACATGATACCCTGTAGGGTCATGTAGGCTACTCTTTGTGGTGAGACGGCAGTAATGGATTCCGAAGGAGTCAAACATTGTTGTCATTGATCAAAAATATCTTCAAAGCGTGCGTTTTCTGCAATAGACTGCATGGAACTCCCCGGACACAAAAGAAGGCAGATCTTCCTGATTGCAGAGTAACCCAGGAAAGCCTCCATTTAGTTATGTAGGTGTTGATTGCTTTGGGCCATTCTATGTAACACGTGGCAGAAGTAAAGAGAAACGATACCGAAGCCTTTTCACGTGCCTCCCCACGAGAGCCATACACCTTGAAAGTTTACATTCTCTTGAGACCGACTCGTTCCTGAACGCCTTTGTGCGGTTTACACCCAGACGAGGTACCCCGGAAAAGGTGCTGTCAGATGACAGGATCAAATTTGCTAGAGGCGAGAAAGAGATAAGGAAGGCTATCTCTCAGTTAAAGGATAGAAAGTTGCATGGATTCTCCGTGGACAAACACATAGAGTGGAAATTCAACCCACCTGGTGCTTCATGGGTGGCGTCTGGGAGCGGCCAATAAGCACCGTACAGAAGGTGCTTGGAGCACTGATGAAGGAGCAAGTCATGGACAATGAACGTCTGTGTACACCCTTTTTTGTGAGGCAAAATCCATAGTTTATTATAGGCCTATCACTACAGCTTCAGACAACCCAAATGATTTGGAAGCCCTCTCGCCGATTCATTTGCTCAAGCTCAGACCTGGTCATTTAATTCCGCTAACAGGATTCACGGAAGGAGAAAAATATTGAAAACGATGGCGACATATTAAGTTTTTGGCAGAGATGTTCTGGAAACGTTGGAATTCTGAATACCTACCTACCCTACAGTAGAGACAAACATGTATTGAGCCTCAAAGGATTCTTAAGCCTGGAGATATCGTGTTGATCAGTGACGACAACACTCCTCATGGCCAGTGGCCATTGGCTAATGTTACAGGGGCTTTTCCTGAGGTAGATGGACTCGTACGCACAGTTGAAATTCTGACACATGGCGGTGTCTTCAAAAGGCCTATCACCAACTTTGCTTTCTGGAAGGCGACTTCGATTAAATATACCCAGCCACAATAAGCTTGATTGTCCCCACCAACTATTGTTTGTTTTGGTTTGATTTCTTGTTGTTGGTATGACATTTGAAGAAAACTAGTAAATACTACTACAAACTTTATTGATATTTGCTTTACCATTTTAAAGTAAAGCATCCCCTACAACATGAAGTTTATGAAACATTCACAATTCGGTAAAGATCCTTAAGCTCTCATACAGTTTACTTTAACCGTTCAGTTGGGCAAGATTTTTGATTTTCTTTAGTTATTAAAGAATTCAATTAAAATCCATGCTCCTTTACGTTTCTCTTTTCCTAGTAAAGCTTTTTATAAAATAGTTTGTCTTTGCTATAAGGTATTCAGTTCACTTTTGTATGTAGTATGAGCAGTTTCTTTTGGGGAATTAGGATATCTGAGACTTTAGTTTATATCTGTGTGGAATTTTTTATTTCTGCCATCAGTTTGCCAGGAAGACTTACAAGTGCCATACTGTTACAAGTGCCACTAAAAATGATCCAGAATATGAAGTATCCACTGGCATAAATCATGTATAGCACTGTGTCATACTGCACCGTCATAAACATTGAAGTCGCCCATGGTACTGTATGAAGCCCGATAAATTATGGGTTGTTGTTGACATATTCCAATTTTTCCTTCCACAAGTTTCATAAAAGCATATTTAACGAGCTACTTGGTTTATCAAGCCCATTGCTGTAGCTCAGTAGGATCTTGGACATCACAATCACTAAAAACATTTGAGGCCTAATGTTAACGATTGTTATACGTGCAATGATATGCAGTAATTCAGTATTGAAATGTTGAAAGGGATTCGTCTTGATCACAGACCATGAAAAATGGTAGGAAATTGAAAGTTGATATCAGGATCTACATATAACTACCATAGGAGTCACAACCTTTATTATCATGTTAGTTTCATAAATACGCCTATGTAGAGCCATGCTTACTCCTGTACACACGGACAACGTACAAGAAAGAAGCACTGGCAACATGTATGACACATCACAACAGAACTACAGGCAGAGGTCATAAAACTTCCCCTTAGATGGATTTGAGAGAACCACTCTTGGATTGCAGCATATACACCTGTTTATGCTGCCGCAATTTCGGAGTAATTATGTAGAGGTATTGGGGTGTGGTGGCAGCAGTGTCTGGCTTTGACAGGTCTACAGACAGTGCAGAGCCACTAATTACATCGGCCAAAGTCAACCCAAATAGCTTGCAATCTCACCCAAAATATGCTTCGTAAACGACTTGAAAGAAGCCTGGACGGGTGTCACACCAGATTACTGAGATTTGCACTAAACATCAATTGGAAGGACAAGGTACCAAACACAGTTCTGTATGGAGATATCCCAAAAGTCACTTCAAAAATAAGAGACCGCAGACTGAGAGCTGCTGGCCACTTTTATCGCCACCCAGAAGATGCAGCTAGCAGGTTTGTTCTCTGGGTACCCAAACATGGATCATAGACACATGATAAGTGATACACAGACCTCATAGAAAAACAACCGCCTGCCTTGGAGCCACGACATCGCTATAGAAATCGCGATCGATGAAGAGGCCAGATGTGACACCAACTCTTCTCCAGGATATACCAACAAGATCTTGCGAGTTATGTCCGACATTGACAACTTCAGCTCACAGATGACTGGTGACAATCTAAAGCGATCTTTCTTTCAATCATCAAGCCGTTTAATTGAGTACCAGCCTGATGTGCATAGTTTCTCCTCGGGCAGTTGGAGTAGCATCACATCTCCAGATGCAAACACGCAGATAATCCTCACTGATGACAGCAACGAGAACAACAACAATCAAGTGACCATCATCCAAGTCCAGCCTTACGATGAACCAACTGTCAACGTGTCTGCCAGTGCCACTACCTCATCAGATGCAGTTGCTGCCATGGATTCCACTGAGTCTTCATCCAACTTGGCTTTCCTAAAGTCTGATTCCACCAGGAATGACATCGCCAGACCTGACAAAGACTTGGCCGGTACCAGCCGGGGCAGCTCTCCCACAAGCCAGCCGGTGTCTGAAGCCCAGTCGGCTGATATCAACAAGCACTGCGACAGATGCGACACCCTGTTCCTGACAGTGTTCGGCCAAGTCCTACTGAAAATGTCCCCCCTTCAAGCCATCCTGTGGTCTGTGTCCTTCCACGATCTCTGCTGGAATACTTTTTAGGAATGGGTCTTCACTACCATCATTGCCATTCTCTTCCATGCTCTTGTCTTGGACACAATCAAGGCCATCATTCAAACATCTGATATATCTCGAGATATCGCACTCAACGTTAAAGTCTATCTGTGATGGATGGTCAGATTCAATTCTGTGGCAGACAGGAAGGTCAAGAAGGTGTAGGTACAGAAGTTTATGGATGCACGTGTACACATCTTGAAAGCAACAGTAAGAAGGAAATTTAACCCGAATTTTGAGAATGTGGAGATGTGTGACGGAAGATTGTCTGCCAGTCTTTCCTTTGCTTTCACTTCACTGTTGTCTGTATATTGACAATGTACAAATACATCTATCAACAAACTATGGAAAATTACAAATTATTCAGTTAGCTGAATGGAGTTCTGTGTTAGAGTTGGTCAAATGGAGAAAGCTCTCTTGCTTATGAAAATGTGGGCGTAACACCTCAACACACAAAAAGTGTACAATGACACTATACCTTTGCTTGAAGTTTTGACTCTGAAAACCACATCTATCTTTGCTGTGTGTTTACAACCACCAGACAAGCATACTCACTTCTACTGGATCATTAACTCCAAAAGAAATTTAAAGAGGAAAGACTTCCACTGGATATTTAAGCAAACTTCTGCGATAAAGAACATAACATAGCGTTTTAATTGGCATCTCTAGGGACAAGTGCAAATATCAAATCATGGAAAATTCGATATTAATGATGTGAAATAGTGGGTTTTTAATATGAATCAAGTTGTGTCAATAGAAATTGGACAGAAACTATATTGTTAGAAATGGCAACTGGGGTTTTCTTTTTGGCTTGATAGAGGAATTTATTATTATCTTTGACAGTTTACAGTACCATTAGAAAAATCAATTCATCCCTTCCACAATATTTGAGTAAACGCAAACATCTCGAGTCTACTCTTTCATTGATTTAAATTGCTGTACAAGTACAAGAATCTGTTTAAAAACGTGTTACTGAGATAAGGATTTGTAAATCACTTGAAAAGTTATTTTCAAATATTTAAAAGTCACATGGAATAATACTGAAATTGTATAAATTCTCTGATAAAATAAAATTCATTTCAAACTGCTCCACTGCTTTCTTTCAGAACACAATGCCAGAGAAAACAATAATACCCTTCCATCAACCTTGGATTTGTAACAACATAGCTTGATTAGAAATCTTTTACCAATATAAAAATATGAACTTGCTTTTCAAAAAAAACTCGAGAAGTCACTTTGAGAATTTTTGCAAAGAAATTGAAAAATTACTTGAAAATATTTTTGAAACATCTTAATGATTTCTCAAATAACAATAACACAAATAATAAATCACTGGTAAAGTACCACTTAATAGTGCAGCGTTGTGGGGAGTTTTAAGAAAGATGCAGTAATATGTATTACAAATGTACATGTATGTAGGGAATTATCAGCAATGTAGGGGAATAAAACTCATGGATAAAAATCCTTTGTTTCCCAGTTTTGATGTATACATTAAAGGAGTATGTTGTTTATAGGCCAGTTCATACTTCATATTCATACTTTCGCATAAGAGAGAAAACGAATACAAATTTGTAACGTCAGATCAGATATTCGCATTACGAATTTGCATATGTTGAATACACTTTAACTCGAGCGAAATTCACCTGCAAATTTTTCGTGACATCAAATTCACTTCGCTTTCGCCTGATGAATTGGCATTAAGAAAACACAGAGAATTGCTGGATAAAGACATAAACGACACACAAGTTTGTCAATGAGAGTGAAGTATCAAAAATGGGCACGATATTCCCTGAAGAATTTCAAACTGGAAGAATTAGTAAAGGAAATCCACTATTTGTGGTGATGGATTGGGGTGTTAGTGGGCGTTGGTGCTGGCTGATTTTTTGTCAAGTGTCTTCAATTGCTCTGAACTATTCTAGAGTGAGATAGGAGACACTTGTCACTTTCTCTCAAAAACTGCACTTTTTATGGTATTTCGGATGGAGCCAGTCTCGGCCAGATGAAAGATTACAATGGGAGTAAATTGTCCTCTGCATTTTGTAAATTTTACACGACATGAGGTTGGAGAACAAGTTACAAGTCAGCAAATCGACTCTGGCACACCCCCCCCTCTGGAAATGCCGTCAACAATGATCTGACATAGCTTGTAAAAGAATCATTACGCCCAAGAATATCATCTTTGGAAATAGACCATTAGGCTGATAGGTTATGCAGTCTACATGTATCATGGTTGCTTAGCCTCATATAAAGAGATTGAAGCGAATGAAAACAACTGCAAATGTAAACAAGGTAGCAGATCTTGCCTACCTCTATGAAAAAAATCATTTGCAGTCACGATGTACTGCAAACAGGCACACTGACATACACCTGTACTGTAATACAAAACACTGATCATTATTTTGTTACCGCCGGATACATATTAAACAAAAATTAAAAAAAAAGCCTTAAAATTTAGCCCCAAAAATATCATTTTCAGAATACATGCAACATAGTATAACTGAACTGACTACACTTGAATTGACTGGCAAGGAAGTGCAGCTTGGCTGCTTTCTGACCCCAATTTTCAATACATCTAAAATCATCCCTAATGTATCATTTTCTTTTCAGTTTTCACAACACTTTGCCCTCAGAATGTGTACAGTGAGTTCCATCCTGTGTTCTGCCAATTTTTAAGGGCATACAATGGGGCTGCATTAACCTTTGTTGACATTTAATTGATGTTGATCAGATCTTGCATGATTCAAAGCCTTTCAATTTCATTTATAATCGCCGAGTTGTTAGTAATGTCCCCATTGCTAATTTTGCCCATGCTGATTTCCACATTTATGAGCTAAACAGTAATGTCATCCTGGGCAAAAAAAAGCTTGGGTTACCGAGAGTTTTTGTGGGTTTTGTTTCATACACAAACCTCTACCAAGAATGGTCAGAGCAAGTTGTAAACAAATCCCCTAAAATGATATTATAAAAAAGCAGGAAACAAGCAAAAAGTAAAATAGCAGGACACTCTACTGCAGTCCTAAATCATTTAAACCTCAATTTGACAAGTTTTCAGCTGTTATAGATAAAATATATAGTATATGGCTTAATTTCCTCAACAAAACTTTCATTGTTATAACTATGTTTTTTAATGTTTTAGCCAGAGCCATATATACATGTACAAAGAGTTGCAGTATGAGGCGAGTGTACTTAAGTATGATGTTTCCAATTGAGGTTGCATTAATGTGTAAGCAAATGACAAACAAGCCAGTTTCCCTCTATGATTTGTTCCATGACAAATGACAAACATTTCAAGGTTTGATGATTGACTGTTTTATGCATGATGCAATGGGCACGAGTCATTGTGGCAGACTTTGGCACCAATATTGGTCTCTGATCTGAACCTATCACAACTCTCTGTACACAAACTCATTTGATACTCTTCAAATGTGCTCTCAATGACCTGGTTCGGTACATGTATTTAAAAAAGCGAGGTCATTCGGAAACAAAGCGAGTGCATGTACAGCCGCAGTGATTTGGCAGACGCGTGTCTGAATGACCTTGGATAGGCTTTATTTTTGGCCTGCGCTGTGGGAATACCGAACTGGCTCACTAGCATTTGTAATTTGACTAGGCACAAGTGGGGATATCACCGTCTTAAATGAATAGCCAGAAGATCAGCTACACAAACACACATCCAAAAACACAGAGATTACTTGGATGGGTACTTGACGCCAGGAAGCACACACAACATCTCAAACAGCAGGTTGGCACCCAGCAACGCGGTGGTGCCAAACGGGTCATAGGGAGGTGACACCTATAAACCAAATATGCATGAATTTAGCTGTCATCCACGGTTACAAATTCGACAGACAAAACTGACAAGGGAATAAGCACTTTTCTAGAAGGGTGAGACTCACGATTAGAGTGTCAGGGGTTCAGATACAGCTGTTGGCCATAAGTTGCAGCCTTTGGCAAGTCACTCACCCTCACTGTCCTTTCTGCCAGGAGTATAAAAGGCTACCAGCATTGGCTGGAGAGCAACCTGCCATGGACTTGCATCCCATCCAGGGGCCCGGTGAAAGAAGGAATATCTTTAACTGGTTGAAAAGTCAATTATCACCATTGAGATGGCACTTCAGCATGAGGTTGTCGGGTCATACTTACCTCGACCAGATCTCCACCGATGATGTTCAGCCCGCGGCAGCCACGAATGATCTCCATGCCCTGTATTGGCGTCAGCCCACCGACTTCAGGAGTTCCTGAAGTAGGGAAATTACGATGGATGCACGGGGTTATGTGGTGTGCTTCTTTTCACATGAGACTGACAACCTAAGAATAGTGTACTGTTGTGTACTTCCAAAGAAAAGATTTAATTTGACCAACATATTTCTACCAACCTGTTCCTGGAGCAAAACCTGGATCTATGCCGTCGATATCAAAGCTGATGTAAACAGGGGTGTCTCCCATCATTTGCCTGACCTCTGACATGAGCGGAAGGAGCGACTTGTGATGACACTCCTCCATCCGAACCACCCACACTCCCTGTAAAGAGAGTACATCAAGAGCTGAACTCCAATATCTATAAAGTGGACTGAACAGCAGAGGTGCCAGCAAGTCATATTTTGCAAGTCCAAGTCAAGTCACAAGTCAATTTTTGCAAGTGCAAGTCAAGTCACAAGTCAAAGCTGGTATTTACAAGTCAAGTAACAAGTCACAAAAATAACAACTTGACTCCAAGTCAAATGACTCAAGTCACCAACTCTGCTGAACAGTAACGTGTGATACCAATCTAATACTCGAACATCCCAACCCCAACACTCCTACTTTAGATACCCCAACACCAAACCTGAACCAAAACCAAACCCAAATAAAACGCCACACCAAACACAGGGGAAATTTATGCACCTGGTTTCTCTGCCACTCAGTGTCATCCTGTGCATCCTGAGGCCCCCGTAGGCCGATCTGCACCATCTTTCTCGGGTCGACAAGCTCTTCCTCGAGGGCTCGGTGGAAGGAAGTGCCGTGAGCAATCTTCTCCCCTAGCATTTCATCCGCTGTGTCGCCGTGGGCATCTATGTGGACCAGCCCCACTGTGCCATGCTTCTCCTGTGGTAGGCAGTCAATAAGAACCCAGCGATTTCATAATCGGCATCAACATTAAGCAGACAGCAAATATTTTTGCCCTGAACTGGAAATCAAGGCATCCATGCCACTGAACCTTGGTGCTTTTAATTTTAAAGGTGTTAGACATAAGCCAAATGGATTCCCCATTTTAAGCATTACAGGTAGGTATGAATGTGAACAACTGCAACTTCAGCCAGCAGCATCCCTGTACCATACAGTGTATTAAAGGCAGCTATCACATGACAGTGTATGGTTTAAAATGGGTGTGAAATTACACACAACCACTTCTATGTGGTTATAAACTATCAAAGAAGAATAACTGCAGTAAATCCAGCTCTTATTTTCAGAGTTATCACGTTTTCTTTAAAGAGCATCTCTCAGGAAAAAAGAATTTTCTCTGATTTTATCTGTTCAAATAAATAAATTCTGAAATATATATTGTGTCATTGAGAAACAGAGAAAGAATGGGAACCCCCACTGTGTTCGTGGTGGATAAACCCTTGTGCATGCCAAACAGTGGCTAAATGCATTGGTTGGCATGTACAAGGGATTATCCACTACAAACACAGGGCAACGGTTCCCCTTATTTTCTCTGGTTTCTCCTCAATAATGCAATCTACATTCAGAATTCACATCTTGGCATGAACTGAAATAAAGCCCATTTTAGCTTGTTAGAGTTTAGCTCTGAAGAAAAAATGACACTGCGTTCGATTTGGATGCTTCCATATTTACTTGAACAGATAAAATCCGAGAAAACATGTTTTCCTCAGAGGTGCCTTTAACAATGACTCACAATCCTAAAACTCCAGCACTGATCGGAAAAAAGGGAAGGATGACATTTGAAGGTTTGCACAGAAGGAGCAGTAAGAGAAAGTTTGCATCATAGTGTTCTGCCAAATCGGAACACAACACCATGTGTCGAGCATATCTGGAGTTTTCCGTCCTCAGGATCTTTTCTTGTCAGAAAACCCCAGAGAGAGATCCACTTGTCATGTGATGCACACCCCACTAGCTCAAGATCATTACAAATGGTGACAAATAAACCACCTTAACGGCCTGAAGCACTGGGTACGACAGGGTGTGGTCACCGCCAAGAGTTAACGGCTTGCAGCCAGTCGTGAGGATCTTTGAGTAGGCTTCCTTGATCATGCGCACGGCCTTCTTCAGGTCATACAGGTTGATGTTGACGTCTCCAATGTCAGCAACCTGTAAGCTTTCAAAGGGCGCTGCACCTGAATGTTCCAGGAAAAACTGTTTACTTTAAATTAAAGTCATGTGCTCGAGCAAGGTCTCCTGTAAAAAAGCAGTTACGCTGAAAATGACATATTTGCAAAACATCCTTGCTTAGTGTCTGGTATGCACCAAACCCAAACAGTTACATGTACTTATGTCTCAGTTGTACTCCGTCAACATTACTTCATTTTGGTATACTTGGGGACTCAAAGAATGCCACCATCAGCCCTAATAGTCACATTCTTGAGATTCTTTGAGGCTTTGGATACAGGATTGTTGAACATTACAGCATTCAGGCAGGCTTCCAATTGGTTTTTGTGTTTTGTTAAAGTTTCTTCTTTCCTTCTACAAGAGAGGCCAATGGCAGCAAAAGCAGGAAGGCCAGAGGAGCCATGCAGTGCCCCCCCCCAATTTGTTTGACTTGAGGCCAATGTTCCCCCATTTGGACAGCTGATACATGATAGTTTCATATATGCTTCCACCTTTGACAATTGTTTTTCATTTGCACTCTTGGACAGAATGACATATCCTATGACACTCAGGAACGATCATACAAAATGTTTCAAACACGAAAATGATCTGGGCTAGCCTTACCAAGGCTGTTGTAAAATCGGATCAGACATGACTCGGTCCTGATCTGCCTTGGGCCGAACCTGGCCCCCGATCTGTGTGTAGTTCCGGTATCCAAAGGGATACCCACAAAGCACGCGTCAAGCCCTGTTTTTAAATTCAATAAAAAGAAAAATTATATCAGCGGTCACTCTCAATTATCAACCAGTTGTGACTATGAACGTAACCCCCAAAATGCACCGCAAACTACAAGAATAAGCTCACAACTTTCAGTTCAAAGAACAGTACTCAATCTTTCTATGCACCTGTACATGCATTATGCAAATTTTTATCATAAACCAAACTTGTTTGACTTTGAGTAATAGAGCAAACATCAAAATGTACTTTTGCAAAGAAGTATTGATGTCAGAAAATTTGCTCTACCGGGTACTCCCTTGTACGAAAAGATACGCATGCAATAAAGCTTACACACTGTACCTTCGGCAGTTGTCTGATAGGGAAGCCTGAACATAGTCGCAATGCCCCCAGGTCGCGGGACATCATGCCCACTCAAGGGTTGATTGTAGTGATTGCAGACTGCTGTCCCAGTGAGATGACGGCGTGGACTGCCCTTTGTTGCTGAGGGGAGAGAGCTGGCAGTCAGGCGAAGAATGTGTCCCCATCTTGACTGGCACCTTCGTGCTGCAGACAGCATGTTCTTAATAGCAGGATATTTAACTGTCTACACAAAGAAAAAAATCATAAAACAGAGTTTACTGCTTGTTATAATTTGTTAAGACCCTAAAAATCGAAAAGCTGCCTTGATCGCCCAATACAAAACACGTTTGACTCTATTCCAGCAGCATGCAAATGGAAATACAAGTCTCACAACACTGACAAGTTACACGTACATCTGGCTTAAGTTTGTTCGTGTGATAAGCTACTGTAGCCTACAGTACTTCGTTCCTCCATAGTACCTGCAAGAGTGACAGCTACAGCAAATGTATGTAGTAGTAGGAAATAGTTAATTGTATCTGGACATCACTTGACACCGCTACCGGTATGATGCAGAAAACCCAATGCGACCGTCTTCTAAGTAAAAGCTTCCAACATTTTCATTGCTAATCAAATCTGGCTTTTTAACTTACACATGTTATCCCTTTCGGATGGCTGACGAACTACATGTACGTACATGTACTGCAAGGGGAAATTATATGGAACTTATACTATCACCCCGCTGTTAAGACAGCTCAACTCGACCCTTGCTGAGATGTAATTGTTAGTGATGCACAACACATGACTTGTACAAATAACTAAAAAGACAATTCATCAGACAGATATTGCTCTTAAGTGCTGTGTTGCTGTAAATAAAATGAACCCGTTCAGTGTTTCAAAAAGTCCAGGTCATCCAGGAACACAGTACGCACGAGGGCCACATAGGGTGTGTTCGATTAACTTCCCTAAATACACCAGTGTTACACCCCTCCTTCCTCCATGGTTACACTAAGGGAAGCATCGAAATGAGGCTAATCGAACACTGCAGTGTATTCGCCAAGGCATTCCGGGAAAAAGGTCAAGTCCCCGCCACATTCCATCATTTCAATGCTCGAACAGTCCATCATTACACTCACAAAAGCAGCCTCCAGAGACCCGCTCGCTAGCCGGGGAACTGACACCTGGCCGGGCAGGCACTGCATGCGCGGCGCTATACAATCTTCGGGCACGAGTATATTATCACCTGATGGCTAAACGTACACAACCATAGAATACTGATACGTCACACGTGCAAGTGTGTGTGTAAAAGACATTAGCGCGAGTACCAGTGAGTGAACCAACACGCGGGCGCAATCCATTTGCTTGCACTGCACTTTCTGGTTCGCAGTGATATCACACTTTGGAACTCTTTGGGTGCGTTCGAGTGTGGAGCGTCAAAAGTGGACAACCTCATTTTCTCATTTTCTGCTACATGAAGTAGATTTTCGGGATTTAGGACTTTGCCTAAAGCATTTTCAAAAACGCAATTTCCCGCTAGGAGAAATTTAGATTTTACTTTAACAACTCTTCGTGGTGCGTCAAAAGTGGACAACTAAAAACTTCAAATTCTCACTGGCAAAATTACTGTCATTCTCCAAAAGTGGACAACCCCATTTTCTCATTTTTGCTAGTAGATTTTCGGGTTTGGGAATTTGCGTATAGCAGTTTCAAAAACTTACGTTTCTGCTAGCAAATATTGGGAATTTACTTAAAGAAGTCTTTGTAGCGCGTCAAAAGTGGACATCAAATTTTATTTGTTGCTCCAAAGAGGACCACCCCATTTTCTCATTTTCTGCAAGTATCGTAGATGTTTGGGTTTTTTGAAGTTGCACCACCCCTTTTCATAAAACCGAATTTTCTGCTAGCAGAAATTTGGATTTTACTTTGCCGACGGTGGGGTGGTCCAAAAGTGGACAAGTTGAAAACTGAAACACCGCTGCGCTCCCTACGCTCAGAATGGAACGGCCTTGGGAAGATGGGCAACCAACATGAACTGTGGAGGGTCAGTGGTATGGAATTCCATAATTTATTATCTGTCGTCGTTCGTCGCCCGTCGTGCGTCGTCCATCAAATGGGTTGCATAGGGCCTGAAAAAAGCCGGGGTTTGACATATACAAATCAAATCAACGTACAAATCCCTCCTGCAAAGCATATATGAGTCCCATAATTAATGTCAATAATGCTAGACTACCCCTGCCCCTTGGAATAAGAAAATATCGTCTTTATGAGAATTCAGCCAAGTGTTTTTTGGGGAAAAACATTTTCAGCAAAAATGTTCAGACCAACTTATCCAGTCTTATTCTAATTTGCATACTGTAAAAACGTGTCGACTTGTTTTCATCAAATTCCAGGAAGAAATCTGCCAGCCGATACAGATATTCCATTTTGTCCTCTCAATTTCACTTTTAAATACAGAAATACTAGACAGTGCTGTGGATAACAACTGTTTATTAAATGTATTGTTAGGTGGCAATTACCACATGGTTTAAGTTTCAGAAAATTTGACGTGTTGGTTTTTGTGGGTGTGTATGCTATGGTGGATAGACCAATTAGAACAGGTTGCCCAGCACATCAGCATTATTCATGGGTCTAACAAGTAACGTTACTTTTTAAAAGACTTCTGTGAGCCTACCTGCAACTCAAATCATGTCTAATTTGGAGTAAACAGCAGATTTCATCAAAGGTATACCTGCCCTTAAAATAATATTGAATCAGTTCGTCTATTATGAAAACTATTAAGAAATCAAGCATTGTAAATATTTTATTTACATTAAGTTCTGTGGGATATCGCGCAGGGACAGACAGAAATATTACAAGGTTATAGACCTAACGTCAGGCCGTTAACGAGTAAAGTTACGTCTAGAATAACTAAGTTATCGATGTAACAAAAATGGTATTATTTCATATACACGTAACTTTACCGATGTCAGTCTTTAAAAATGAAAGGATATTATATTTTTCTTTCAAGTGGAGTTCGGCGCAACTGCAAGAACGAATACATCTCCTGGTTCTACTGCTAAAATGAGAGTCAGGCACGATCAAGTACATGGACATGTGAAACGATCAAGGGTCAAAATTAAAAATACCACTGCGCAATCGAGGAAAAAAAAACAGACGACGGGCGACACACGACGGACGACGCACGACGGACGACGCACGACGGCAGATATGGAACTCCATACGAAAGCCTGCATGGATTTAATTTCGTCTAAAGCTGAGTCTGTGTGAATATTTGTTTGCAAGACAGAGGGGAAGAATTCTGCTACGAAATTATGTAAGTCGGTCACGAAAATGCCAACCATGGGCGATCATACAGCCGTTTCTATAAAAAGTGATCCTGAACTGTCGCACTATGCTAGCCTAATCTGAAACATTCTTTAATTAAAGGACAGAACAAAACAGTGTCCTTGGGTGTTTGCTGCTGTTATGTTGTGTAAAACACCGACGGGTTCGAAAGAGTGTCCGCTCTTTATCTTACTGTTCCCTGATTGGTCAGTATTTTGCGTTTACCGTTTCACTTTGTTGATGGAAGCATAACCGTGCATCTTATTGTACGGCATGTTATTTAGCTGTCAGTACGTTGAAAATACTGACTCCCATAATTCACCTCCACATTTTGGTTGTTTCCCTATGTATATGTTATTTCTATAGACTTGTACATTTCTTGGCCCTTAAGACACCTTTCTGTCTGTTTTGGGGAGCGTTGCGTAAAAGATGTGAGAGCGATTAAAAATTGCTCTCCTTAAATCAACAAAGTGAATTAAGGGGAGCGATTTGCTCTCGCTGACAAAAACCAAGTTAATGTAAAACATACTCAATAAAATTAACACAATTTAACTTCTTTTACTGATTTCAATGAGTTAATGCATCTGTCAATTGTAATCCCGGCCCCGGGGGACCCGGGACTTTCGAAATGTAGCGGGGACGTACCCGGGGATGTCCCAAAAAAGTGCCCCTCCGGCCGGGACGATAGCGGGGACTTACCCGGGGTTGTACATGTAATGGCTGCCCCGCTGACCCGGGACGATAGCAGGGACTTGGCAGGGGTTGCACAATTTGCACTGAGCTTAGATGTGAAATCCAAAGTGTTTCCCCTATCCTGACAGATGAAAACCTGACAAAGATGACACCTCATTTTAGGATCAGTGTGTGCAAAATACATGTATACCTTTTTCTTTCTTTTTCTACAAATATTGTCGCCACTTTGTATGGACTGCTAAATGATTAAAACGTGTGTAATTTAATCTTTCAACCAAGTAGCACTGGTCACGTGTCTGTTTTGGCGATACATTTCAAATCATTGGTTATCTTCTAGATCAATCTTCAATAAACGAATGAAGTGTTGTGGTAATTGTTAATTGTCTCATGTGCTGGCACTGGCTATGGCCACATGTACATAACGAGCGTTTCAATTGGTCAATTGGTCTCCACACAGCACGTAAAAAATTTTGCTATTGGATAAATTTCCAAAATTATTTCTGAGACGCCTGCAAAGAAGGATTGTAGTGATTTGGGTCGTCGGCCCTCTGATTCCGGTGCTTCAGATATGCGGGCGAATGTTTTGCCAAAGTTTGGGATAATTATAACAGCTGCCCCTTGCTTTGCTTTATTTCGATGGCATTTTACCAGCAATTAGGGCGACCGACTCGATGTCATATTTGCAATGACCCAGAAGAGTAGGGGACTTTTAGAAATTAATGAAAGTTTTTAGTTATTTATTTTTAGTTGTACGGCTGTTGCAACACAACCCCGCACGATGCCATTATCATGGGGCAGAGATGGTCACAACAGGGATGGGGAATCCAAACAAAGGTGCCCCGCTCTGGCCGGGCAAATTATGGAGACTTGGCCGGGACTATCACGATGGCCGTGTTTTATGTGCCCCGCTAATCCCCGCTATATAGTCACGGGTCCCCCAGGGCCGGGATGACAATTGACAGGTGCATAACTTGACTAGTCTCCTCGCTCGCCCGACAATCCATTTCGCCGCTACAGGGGGCTCTGAATTTACTGCGTATGTACATCCTTTCTTTTTGGTATTTTAAAACGTATTGCACGTCCACTGCAGATTGTATTCATCATCCCTTGCTGCGCTCACAATACTACTTCGACCAGTGCATTTTCGTATAGAACACCGGGCACATTACCCGCCAGAGACTTTTTTCTTTCCTGTGGCATACTTTCTGTTCTCGACAAGCGAACATTGTTCTTACGCTCGAACCACACGAACACGTAACAGGATCAGACACCATCTCCAGCCACTACAGGGTTTTTTCCCAAACTCACTTCTGCTGTTCACAAACGGCCGAGAACGTCAAGGTAGCGCCTGAGCTCTACCCGTTCTGATCTGGGAGAGAGGTCGGCCAGGCGCGGCTATGTGCGTCCATGGAATTCCATAGGCCCGCCCACACGCACTATCATGTTTGTGTGTTGTGATGCGGGATTCATCAAACGCGCGCACAACTCAAAGACTTTGATCACCAGCCCTTGTGTTTTAATACATTCAATTCTTGGACTCGTTTGCTGCTGTCGACTCAACGAGATTCAAGGGGCTTGTCATAAATCAACTTCTGATAGTTTGAAAAAACCATGCACTCCTTAAATTTTTAAGGAGCGCTTTTTTTGCTGTCCTTGGAAAACATTAAGGAGAGCGGAGGATCGCGAGCGCGATGGTGCTCCTTTCAAATGAAGCCCTGCATTAACATAACCTATAACACATGTGCACGTTCCGTCCGGCCATCAAAATCGCCGTGGGAGCAATTTTGACGGATACGCAATGAATTGCGCAGTTGTTGACGCGCACATGGAAAGGTGACTTTAAGCTGGTAGTTTAAATCTTTATCGGAATTTATCGGATGCCTTTCCATTTTTAAATCAACACTTTTGGGTAAGGGTTTAGTTTTGAATTATTGTTCAGTTTCCTCTCCAAATCTTAGTCACATATTTGTTTTAGTCAAGGTATTTAAACAGCAGGCGTGGTTGGGGGTGGCTGTTGGACTTTAG